GTGTAGGAGCATATCTGGAAGCATCCCCCTTAAGATTCAGATGAGAATCCAGTTGTAGAGTTCTGCTGTTCTCGCACTCGTAGTCGCATTCGCGATGACAGTCGCAGTGGCATGCATTAGCCTCAGCCTCAGCCTCAGCCTCAGCCTCAGCATCAGCCTCAGCCTCAGCTTCAGCCTGCCTCAGCCTCAGCCTCAGCCTGCTCTTGCGTCAGCCTCAGTCTGCCTGTGGCCTCGGCCTCAGCCTCAGCCTGCCTCAGCCTGAGCCTGCCTCAGCCTCAGCCTCAGCCTCAGCCTCAGCCTGCCTCAGCATCAGCCAGCCTCAGCCTCAGCCTCAGCCTCAGCCTCAGCCTCAGCCTCAGCCTCAGCCTCAGCCTCAGCCTGCTTCAGCCTCAGCCTCAGTCTGCCTTCAGCCTCGGCCTCAGCCTCGGCCTGCCTCAGCCTCAGCCTGCCATCAGCCTCAGCCTCAGCCTGCCTCAGCCTCAGCCTCAGCCTGCCTCAGCCTCAGCCTCAGCCTGCCTCAGCCTCAGCCTCAGCCTGCTTCAGCCTCAGCCTCAGTCTGCCTTCAGCCTTCAGCCTCGGCCTCAGCCTCAGCCTGCCTCAGCCTCAGCCTGCATCACCCTCAGCCTCAGCCTCAGCCTGCCTCAGCATCAGCCTGCTTCAGCCTCAGCCTCAGCCTGCCTCAGCCTCAGCCTCAGTCTGCTTCAGCCTCAGCCTCAGTCTGCCTTCAGCCTCGGCCTCAGCCTCAGGCTGCCTCAGCCTCGGCCTGCATCAGCCTCAGCCTCAGCCTCAGCCTGCCTCAGCATCAGCCTGCCTCAGCCGCAGCCTCAGCCTGCCTCTGCCTCAGCCTCAGCCTCAATATGCCTTCAGCCTCGGCTTCAGTCTCAGCCTGCCTCTGCCTCAGCCTGCATCAGCCTCAGCGTCAGCCTGCCTCAGCCTCAGCCTGCCTCAGCCTCAGCCTCAGCCTCAGCCTGCCTCAGCCTCAGCCTCAGCCTGCTTCAGCCTCAGCCTCAGTCTGCCTGCAGCATCGGCCTCAGCCTCAGCCTGCCTCAGCCTGAGCCTGCCTCAGCCTCAGCCTCAGCCTCAGCCTCAGCCTGCCTCAGCCTCAGCATGCCTCAGCCTCAGCCTCAGCCTGCCTCAGCCTCAGCCTCAGCCTCGGCCTGCTTCAGCCTCAGCCTCAATCTGCCTTCAGCCTCGGTTTCAGTCTCAGCCTGCCTCAGCCTCAGCCTGCATCAGCCTCAGCCTCAGCCTCAGCCTGCCTCAGCCTCAGCCTGCATCAGCCTCAGCCTGCTTCAGCCTCAGCCTCAGCCTGCATCAGCCTCAGCCTGAGTCTGCCTTCAGCCTCGGCCTCAGCCTCAGCCTGCCTCAGCCTCAGCCTCAGCATCAGCCTGCCTCAACATTCAAAATGTGGCCAGGGAATGGAATTCTGGGAACTCGAAGAACACGAAGTGGCCTACAGTTTGCTCCGGGCATTTAAAATCATGCCCAGGAATGGAGTTCTGGGAAGTCCAAGAGCACGAAGTGGCCTACAGTTGGCTCCGGGCATCCAAAATGTGGCCCGGGAATGGAGTTCTGGGAACTTTTTTTGCTTCGATTTTTTTTTTTTTCTTTTTTATTTTTTTTGCGAGACCACGTAAGTAACATACAGTTGGCGTCGGGCATCCAAAAATGTGGCCCTGAGGCGAATGAGTTCTGGGAACTCGAAGAGCACGAAGTGGCCTACAGTTGGCCTCCGGGCATCCAAATCTACGCCGGGAATGGAGTTCTGGGAACTCGAAGATCACGAAGTGGCTTACAGTTGGCTTCGGGCATCCAAAATGTACGCCGGGAATGGAGTTCTAGCAGCGCCAAGCGCGATTTTGCGAGGATGTCCCAGGCGATTTGGGCTTCGGCGGCAGCCGCCCCGGGTCCCGCCCCGACCCCCCTGAGGAGTCATGATGCTCTCTTTTGAGACCACTAGAAACCTATCAGTCTTCGCTGTTAGGTAACAACGATGAGTTCATGCATACATGTACTCATAACTTCATCATGTATTAAACATCCCATATGAAAAACATTATCCCGGCAAAGCAACCTAACAGCGATGTGTAGAAGCATATCTGAAAGCATTCCCCTTAAGATTCAGATGAAAATCCAGTTGTAGAATTCTGCTGTTCTCGCAGTCGTAGTCGCATTCGCGATGACAGTCGCAGCGGCAACGGCAGTCGCAGTCACAGCCTCAGCCTCAGCCTGCCTCAGCCTCAGCCCCAGCCTGCCTCAGCCTCAGCCTGCCTCAGCCTCAGCCTCAGCCTGCTTCAGCCTCAGCCTCAGTCTGCCTTCAGCCTCGGCCTCAGCCTCAGCCTGCCTCAGCCTCAGCCTGCATCAGCCTCAGCCTCAGCTTGCCTCAGCCTCAGCCTCAGCCTGCTTCAGCCTCAGCCTCAGTCTGCCTTCAGCCTCGGCCTCAGCCTCAGCCTGCCTCAACCTCAGCCTGCATCAGCCTCAGCCTCAGCCTCAGCCTGCCTCAGCATCAGCCTGCCTCAGCCTCAGCCTCAGCCTGCCTCAGCCTCGGCCTCAGTCTGCTTCAGCCTCAGCCTCAGTATGCCTTCAGCCTCGGCCTCAGCCTCAGCCTGCCTCAGCCCCAGCCTGCCTCGACCGCAGCATCAGCCTGCCTCAGCATTCAAAATGTGGCCCAGGAAAGAGAGTTCTGGGAAGTCGAAGAGCACGAAGTTGCCTACAGTTGGCTACGGGCATTCAAAATGTGGCCCGGGAATGGAGTTCTGGGAACTCGAAGAGCACGAAGTGGCCTAGAGTTGGCTCCGGGCATTCAAAATGTGGCCCGGGAATGGAGTTCTGGGAACTCGAAGAGCACGAAGTGGCCTACAGTTGGCTCCGGGCATTCAAAATGTGGCCCCGGAATGGAGTTCTGGGAACTCGAAGAGCACGAAGTGGCCTACAGTTGGCTCCGGGCATTCAAAATGTGGCCCGGGAATGGAGTTCTGGGAAGTCGAAGAGCACGAAGTGGCCTACAGTTGGCTCCGGGCATTCAGAATGTGGCCCGGGAATGGAGTTCTGGGAGGTCGAAGAGCACGAAGTGTGTGACTGTTTGCTTAAAACGACTTCTGCGGCACCCTGTCCGGCACCCGCCCAGACCCCTTCGTGGAGTCATCTGCTGCTCTCTTTTAAGACCACTAGAAACCTATCAGTCTTCGCTGTTAGGTAAGAAACCTATCAGTCTTCGCTGTTAGGTAACATTCCCCTTAAGATCCAGATGAGAATCCAGTTGTAGAATTCTCCTGTTCTCGCAGTCGCAGTCGCATTCGCGATGACAGTCGCAGTGGCAACGGCAGTCACAGTCACAGCCTCAGACTCAGCCTGCCTCAGTATCAGCCTGCCTCAGCCTCAGCCTCAGCCTGCCTCAGCCTCAGCCTCAGCCTGCTTCAGCCTCAGCCTCAGCCACAGCCTGCCTTCAGCCTCGGCCTCAGCCTCAGCCTGCCTCAGCCTCAGCCTGCCTCAGCCTCAGCCTCAGCCTGCTTCAGCCTCAGCCTCAGTCTGCCTTCAGCCTCGGCCTCAGCCTCAGCCTGCCTCAGCCTCAGCCTGCATCAGCCTCAGCCGCAGCCTCAGCCTGCCTCAGCATCAGCCTGCCTCAGCCTCAGCCTCAGCCTGCCTCAGCCTCAGCCTCAGCCTGCTTCAGCCTCAGCCTCAGTCTGCCTTCAGCCTCGGCCTCAGCCTCAGCCTGCCTCAGCCTCAGCCTGCATCAGCCTCAGCCTCAGCCTCAGCCTGCCTCAGCATCAGCCTGCCTCAGCCTCCGCCTCAGCCTGCCTCAGCCTCAGCCTCAGCCTGCTTCAGCCTCAGCCTCAGTCTGCCTTCAGCCTCGGCCTCAGCCTCAGCCTGCCTCAGCCTCAGCCTGCATCAGCCTCAGCCTCAGCCTGCCTCAGCCTCAGCCTCAGCCACAGCCTGCCTCAGCCTCGGCCTCAGCGTCTGCTTCAGCCTGCCTCAGCCTCAGCCTCAGCCTGCCTCAGCCTCAGCCTCAGCCTCAGCCTGCCTCAGCCTCAGCCTCAGTCTGCTTCAGTATCAGCTTGCCTAAGCCTCAGCTTCAGCCTGCCTCAGCCTCAGCCTCAGCCTGCTTCAGCTTCAGCCTCAACCTTAGCCTCAGCCTCAACCTTTTCCTCAGCCTCAGCCTCAGCCTGCATCAGCCTCAGCCTCAGCCTCAGCCTGCATCAGCATCAGCCTGCCTCAGCGTCTGCCTCCGCCTGCCTCAGCCTCAGCCTCAGCCTCAACCTCAGCCTCAGCCTCAGCCTGCCTCAGCCTCAGCCTGCCTCAGCCTCAGCCTCAGCCTGCCTCAGCAGCAGCCTGCCTCAGCCTCAGTTGGCTACGGGCATTCAAAATGTAGCCCGGGAATGGAGTTCTGGGAACTCGAAGAGCACGAAATGGCCTACAGTTGGCTCCGGGCATTCAAAATGTGGCCCGGGAATGGAGTTCTGAGAACTCGAAGAGCACGAAGTGGCTTACAGTTGGCTCCGGGCATTCAAAATGTGGCCCGGGAATGGAGTTCTGGGAACTCGAAGAGCACGAAGTGGCCTACAGTGGGCTCCGGGCATTCAAAATGTGGCCCGGGAATGGAGTTCTGGGGACTCGAAGACCACGAAGTGGCCTACAGTTGGCTCCGGGCATTCAGAATGTGGCCCGGGAATGGAGTTCTGGGAGGTCGAAGAGCACGAAGTGTGTGACTGTTGGCTTAAAACGACTTCTGCGGCACCCTGTCCGGCACCTGCCCAGACCCCCTTGTGGAGTCATTTGCTGCTCTCTTTTTAGCCCATTAGAAACCTATCAGTCTTCGCTGTTAGGTAAAAATCCCATGTATGAAACACTGCCCTGTACCTCCTGCTCGTCGCCTCCCGTTTGCGGCTCGTGGCTCCCGTCCCGTGCCGGGGCTCCTCCTCCCCGCCTGCAGCACGCGCCCTGCGCACGCCCCGAAGCGCGCGCCGGCGGCCGCCCCCCTCCGCGCCTCTGCTCGCCCGGGAGAG